GGAGGGGGGGGCGGGGGGGAGGGGGGCTTGGTATCATCAGGAGGGGAGTAGCAGGAGGGGAGGGGCATGAAAGGGATTGAAGGAGGGCGCGGAGGAGGGGCGCGGGAAAGGGCAAGGGCCCCTTGCCTCAGCCGCGCATGTCCGTAGCCACTGCAGTGGCTCAAGGCCGCCGCGCTCGCGCCTGTCTCCCGCGGGCCCCGCGGGATGCTTTCCAGGCGGCGGTTGCCTTATGACAGGTTGGGCTTGCCGCCGGAGAGGCGGCTGAGAGCGAACGTGCAGGACCTGATAAGCAGCAACGTGGTCAGCGGGCAGCGCGGCGCTCAGCTGATCAATGACTGCGTCTCTGCATCTGCGACAGGTCTCTCCGACCTGCACACTACGGAGTCAACGTCGGGCATGAAAAACGCTGCCAGGAAGTTCAGGCGGGATTTCTTCAGGAAAGGGTGGCCTCCGCTCTATCACTGCCAGGTGAGGGGCTGGGACCCCAAGTCTGAAACAGAACAACTGATGGACTTAGCGATGATGCTTCCTCACGAAATACTTCATCAACTTCATCATTTTGGCGAGCGGAGCGTGCTACTGGAGACGTCGAGTCTCGACGGCGTGTCTCTGCGCCACGTGCAAAGAGCCAGGGCGGAGAGTGGTTGCAACGACCTGGTGGCCCTGGGCGTGTGGCAGGACGGGGTCCCTTGCTTTTGGGACCGATCGATGAGCGCAGAGATCATCAGCCTCATGTTGCCAGGGGCTGCGGGGCGCTGGAAAAACCTGCGGGTCCCAATCACAGCGTTCCTCAAAGAGCACGTGGGCCCCAACACATTTGATGATGTTTTTGCAGTGGTGCAGTGGAGCTTTGTTCACTTGGCTGCGAAGCGCTGGCCGGCGGCACGGCACGACGGCTCTCCCTTCGGCGCGCAGGACGCCTGGAGGAAGCGCCGACAAGTGGCCGATGCAACCCTACCAATTGGCGGAGTGCTTTGCCAGATCAAAGGGGACTGGAAGATGATGAAGGAGGTGCTCAAGCTACCTGGCTGGCAAGATGACGAAGTATGCTTCCTGTGCAACATCAAGAAGGACGAGGCCATGGGAGCGCAACACATCAGGGGAGGAAGGAAATCCCCTCTGGGAGGGGGTGCGTCGTCGTCGTTTTGCGGCCCCTTCCAGGGGGGGTGGAGGAGGAGGGGGAGGAGGGGTGGAGGAGGAGGAGGAGGAGGAGGAGTGTTTTTGGCTACTCCCCGCAGGTGAAATCGCAGACTGGGAGAGACGCGCCGCGGAGAACGCACCGACGCACATGGCCAGAAGTCCTTGCGAAGATTATCGTTTCAGGCGAGCAGGTGTGCCCTCTCTTCCAAGTGCCGTATGCGAACGAAAAGTTGCTGAAGCTAGATTGGTTACACGTTGTTGATCTTGGAGTAGCGGCTGACTTCATAGGGGGTTTGCTATGGTATCTTGTAACGCACAAAAAGGTGGCTGGAACTACCCAGAAAGGCCGCGTCTCCACACTACATGGTCATTTGATGGCGTTCTACGACAGGCAGCCGCCAGGTGAGAAGACCAGCCGCCTATCGAGACTGACGCGGGGCGTTGTGAAAGGAAAAAAAGCAACGACGGCTAAGATGAGGTGCGGCGCGGGGATGCTCAGGCACATGGTTCCATGGGCATTGGAGATGGCGGAGGCTTTCCTTGATAGGAGGAATGGCGTCGACGAGCGGGCAGCTGTAGAATCGTCCATTCACGCAGGGATGAAAAGCTTATGTCGGTGTTACGAGGCACTCTCTGACAATCACCCATTTGCTGTGGACATTCTTAGAGAGCATTCGAGTAAGTTTGCCACGCAGACGGCCGCTTTGCAAGACGCGCTTCCTGCCCATTTTAAAGTGAAGCCTAAAATGCACATGTTTCTGGAGCTGTGCATGGGCGGCGGTGAACCAGCGAAGCACTGGAACTATAGGGATGAGGATTTCGGTGGATCTGTAGCTGCATTTGGCCGAAGGAGGGGCCAAAGGAGGTCCATGAGAGCGTTTTCGGCGGCATGCATCTCTAAGTTCTGCGGCCAGCCGATTGTGCGCATGCTTTGAAAAGAACGCTTCTGTGTGTATCGTTGTCATTCATTGCTGTCGGCTCAAATATATGTTGGACCCCTCCCAGTGGGGCGAGCGCGAGCATGGGCGCTGAAGCCCCGTTTGCCCCAAAACGGCGGGTCGAACTATTTTCGGCGCGCCCGAACTATAGATCGACCCGCAGAAAAGTATAACCCCCGCATTATAGTTCGACCCCGCACTATAGATCGACCTTGGAGTCTCAAGGAACATCATTGACATTGAACATCGTGACATTTCCCAAACAGTGCTTGCACTTAGGGGGCCTTCTCTCTTCTTTCCTAGTATTAGCTGGGTCGTCTGAGGGGCGGTCTGGCGGCTCTTTCCTCCTCGCCGTTGCCGCCCTGTCGCCGCCCGTCGTCGTCTGGGCTTGAGGGGCGGTCTAGTTTTTCCGTCCTTGCCGTCGCCCCCCCTTGCTGCGTCGTCGCCGCCCGTCGTCTTGGCCTGAGGGTCGGTCTGGCGGTTCCTTGCTCGTCGCCGTCACCGTCCCGTCGCCGCCCCCTCGTCGCTGCCCTGTGCGCCCCCTAGCGGTTGCAATCCAATCGGTTGCAAGCCAATCAAGTGCAAACCCAGTGGAATCGATTGCAGTCCAATCAATGGTAAAATTATGCAAACGCAGTCCCCCACATAAAAAATATTAACAGTTTCGTGGGACCCATGGGGTACGACAACATCAGCACGAAGGAGAAGCTCATCGAACGAGTAAGTACGCACGAAAAGACAGACGAAAGAAAGGAGGAGGGAGGACAGGTGCTCAGGAAACGACGCCTTGTAAATAGTACGGGTTGTTGATACCCTCTTCGCTCTGGCGGGGCCCCGCTGGAAGGGGGGAAGCTTACGAAACCTGGTAAAGAGTAATGCTGTCCGCGACCCTCCTCGTTCAAGCGAATCCTCCTCCTCCTCCTCGTCGTCCTGCTCCTCCTCGTCCTCCTCATCCTCGGCATCATCACCATTATCACCAGCATCATCGTCGTGATCATCAGCATCATCAGCAGCATCATCGTCACCCCTTCGTCGTCGTCATCATCAGCATCATCCTCATCATCATCAGTACCAACATCGTCAACATCATCATCATCATCATCGTCAGCATCATCGGCATCATCATAACCATCATCATCATCCTCATCATCATCAGCATCATCATCATCGCCAGCGTCATCGTCATCAGCATCGTCGTCGCCACCATCGTCATCATCATCTTCATCATCATCATCATCATCATAATCATCAGCATCGTCATCATCATCACCATCACCGTCCTTGGCATCATCATCGTCCGCATCATCGTGGACGTGATGATCATCAGCATCATCGTCGTCATCATCATCAACAACACCAGAAACGTCAGCATCAGCAGCAGCATCGTCATCGTCACCAGCATCTGCATCATCATCCTCGTCGTCGTCGCCATCGTTGTCATCATCGTCATCGTCATCATCATCATCGTCATCATTACAGCATCATCAGAATCACCCTTATCGCCATCGTCACCGTCCATCACCATGATCGCCATCGTCATCGTCATCGTGAACAGCAGTATAACCATCGTCATCACCATCATCATCATGAAGCCTTCCTCATCGCAGAACTCCCCCTCCTCCTCACCCTCCTCAGTGGGAGGAGTAGGACGTGAGATGGATAGGTAATTTTCTCCCCTCCTCCTCACCCATGTCAGTGGGAGGGGCACGAAACCATTTAAATAGTATGGGTTTCCGATACCCTCCTCGCTCAGGCAAGGCCTCCCGGAGAGGTGGTAGGGGCACGAAACCATGTAAATAGCATGGGTTTCCGATACCCTCCTCGCTCAGGCGGGGCCTCCCTGGAGAGGTGGGAGGTGCACGAAACCATGTAAATAGCATGGGTTTCCGATACCCTCCTCGCTCATGCGGGGCCTCCGTGGAGAGGTGGGAAGGGCACGAAACCATGTAAATAGTATGGGTTTCCGATACCCTTCTCGCTCAGGCGGATGGAAAGGGCACGAAACCATCTAAAGTTTCCGATACCCTCCTCGCTCAAGCGGGGCCTGCCTGGAGGGGTGGGAGGAGCACGAAACCATGTAATCTTTATTGATTTCCGATACCCTCCTCGCTCAGGCAAGGCCTCCATGGAGAGGTGGGAGAGGCACGAAACCATGTAAATAGCACGGGTTCCCGATTCCCCCCTCGCTCAGGCGGGGCCTCCCTGGAGGGGAGGGAGGGGCACGAAACCATGTAAATAGCATGGGTTTCCGATACCCTCCTCGCTCAGACGGGGCCTCCCTGGAGGGGTGGGAGGGGCACGAAACCATGTAAATAGTATGGGTTTCCGATACCCTCCTCGCTCAGTCAGGCGGGGCCTCCCTGCTGGAGGGGTGGGATACCCTCCTCGCTCAGGCGGGGCCTCCCTGGAGAGGTGGGAAGGGCACGAAACCATGTAAATAGTATGGGTTTCCGTTACCCTCCTCGCTCAGGCGGGGCCTCCCTGGAGGGGCGGGAGGGGCACTGCTGGGAGGCGGGAGGCGGGAGGGAGAAGGAGAGGATGTTCTGGGAAAACAAGAACCCGCACCAGCACCGGCCACCGGCACCAGCACCGGCACCGGCACTGGCCCTGGCACTGGCACCAGCACCGGCTACCGGCCACCGGCACCGGCCACCAGCACCGCACCGCACCGGCACCGGCACCGCACCAGCACCGGCACCGCACCAGCACCGGCACCGGCACCGGCACCGGCACCGGCACCGGCACCGGCACCGGCACCGGCACCGGCACCGGCACCGGCACCGGCACCGGCACCGGCACCGGCACCGGCACCGGCGCCGGCGCCGGCACCGGCACCGGCACCGGCACCGGCACCGGCACCGGCACCGGCACCGGCACCGGGGCAAGAATCGTTCATGCCTTCCAACGTTTCAGGCGCTCGAGAATGTTTTTCTGGTGGCATATGTGTTAGAGCTTTTGATGCGCATCATAGGTGACTGGTCAGATTGCCTCGGGAGCTTGTGGTTTCAGATGGACCTCACCCTCGTCGTCTTTGGCGTGGTGACGACATGGGTGATGGAGCCGCTTCTTAGCAGAATAGGTGCCATCGGTGTTCTCAGGAAGGTGTTGGTCATTCGCATTCTGCGACTGCTGCGCCTGGTGCGTGCCCTCCGCTTTCTGAAGATGATGCGGCCGCTGTGGACGCTGGTCAAAATCCTGGTGGGGGCAAATGGCCCAGTAACGTCGGGCCTGGTGCTGCTACTCGGGGCCAAGTACGTGTTCGCGTGTGCCGGGGTGGTCCTCATCGGTAGCGACCAGGACTTGCTCTCCGACCCCGTGGCCGGGCCCATCGTGGCAGATCATTCCGGGTCGATCCCAGTATTGATGTTGACGCTGACGCGGTTCACTTTTTGCGACGCCATCGCCCAGATCTACGAACCTATAGTTCTCGCGAAGCCTGTTATGATATTTGCTCTTGGTGCCGATCGCGCTCATGAGCCTGATCACAGCCGTGCATGTCAACCACGCTATCAAAGTTTCCACTCAAGACGCAGAATTGGAGCGCATCTCCCTGAGGGGCAGATTGCAGAGGCTGATACCACTTCTGTCCAAGATTTTCAGGCAGCTCGATGTCCACAACCAAGGGTTTGTTTCTTTTCACGGGATCGATCTAACGAATATGACTATGCCCTTGCCGCCCGAGGTACAGCGCGCGCTCAAGTCTTTACAGGCTTGAAGATTTCTTCAAGCTGCTCGACGCAGATGCGTCTGGACACATGCGGCCGGCACAAGGCTTAAGAACTTCGGTGGTTCGGGGAGGGTACCCTTATGTTCTTCGTTTTTGTTCCATGTTCTTGTGCACCCTGGGGGAGGGTATCCTCGATGTTCTTCCGTTTGGCGCCATTGTTCCTTCGTTCTGACAAAGCTGGGGTTCGGGGCTCACGATTCGGCTACGAGCGTCCGCGGCGGGGGCGGGACCCCCCATGTTCTCCGGTCCCGAAGTCGCGGTGCGGCCTTCAGCAACCGCGTGCCCCTTCATGATGGTGGTGGTGCGATTGCAATCACCCTCGCATGTTCTTGGGGGACTGTTTGGCGTTGGTGGGCTTCGGGTTGCGGGGCTTAGGGCGTGCGGATGCAGGCTTGATTGAGGCTACGTACGTAGGCCGCAGGGCTCGCGCGTCCGCGGAGCGGGCAGGACCCTCCATGTTCTTCGGTTTCGATGTCAAGGCGCGGCCTCCAGCAACCGCGTGCCCCTTGATGGTGGCGGCGTGAGTGCAATCACCCTCGCATGTTCTTAGGGGAGAACTTGGCGTTGGTGGGCTTCAGGTTTCGGAGAGTAGGGTGCGCGGCTGCAGGCATGAGGCTAGGGCGGGCGGGCGAAGCCACGCGCAGCTTCCTGGGCTGCGGCAGGGCTGAGAGGTTGGATGTGCGGATGACGTTCAGGACGTAACGCTGATGTCGGTCCTATGCTAAGGCCCATGGGGTAGGCCGCAGGGCTCGCGCATCCGCGGCGCGGGCAGGACCCTCCATGCTCTTCGGTCTCGGTGTTAAGGTGCGGCCTTCCGCAACCGCGCCCCCCTTGATGATGGTGGCGCGAAAGGAATCGCCCTCGCATGTTCCTAGGAGAGAGTTTGGCGGTTGTTGGGCATCAGGTTGCAGGGCATACGTGCGGCTGCTAACTTGGTGCTAGGTCAGGCGGGCGAGGCCACGCGCAGCTTCCTGGGCTGCGGCAGGGCTGAGAGGTTGGATGTGCGGATGACGTCCAGAACGTAGCGCTGAGGTCGGTCCTATCCTAGGGCGCATGGGGTAGCCCGTGGGGCTCGCGCGTCCGCGGCGCGGGCAGGACCCTCCATGTTCTTCGGTTTCGATGTCAAGGTGCGGCCTCCAGCAACCGCGTGCCCCCTGATGATGGCGGCGCTCGAGGAATCGCCCTCGCATGCGATGAAGGGGCTGTTTGGCGTTGGTGGGTTTCAGGCTGCGGGGCCGAGAACCTCTGAAAGCTTCTGAGAGCCTTCCGAGAGCCCCTGAAACCCTCTGAGAGCCTCCGAGAGCTTCCGAGAGCCTCCGAGAGCTTGCTTGTGAGAGCCTCCGAGAGCCTCCGGGAGCCTCTGAGAGCCTCTGAGAGCCTCCGAGAGCCTCTGAGAGCTTCTGAAAGCATTTGAAAGCCTTTGAAAGCTCCCGAGAGTCTCCGAGAGCTTCTGAGAGCCTCCGAGAGCCTCCGAGTGCCTCCGAGAGCCTCCGAGAGCCTCTGAGAGCCTCCGAGAGCCCCCGAGAGCTTCCGAGAGCCTCTGAGAGCCTCCGAGAGCTTCTGGGAGCATCCGGGAGCTTCTGAGAGCCTCTCAGAGCTTCTGAGAGCCTCTCAGAGCTTTTGAGAGCCTCCGAGAGCCACCGAAAGCCTCCGATAGACTTTGAGAGCATCTGAGAGCTTCTGAGCGCCCCCGAGAGTCTCTGAGAGCCTCCGAGGGCCCCTGAGAGCCTCCGAGAGCCCCTGAGAGCTTCCGAGAGCCCCCGAGAGAGCCTCTGAGAGCATCTGAGAGCCTTGGAGAGCTTCCGAGAGTCGCCGAGAGCTTCTGAGAGCCTCTGAGAGCTTCTGGGAGCGCTTGAGATCTTCCGATAGCCTCTGGGAGCTGCTGAGAGCTTCTGAGAGCTGTTCAGAACCTTTGAGGCTTCTCCGAGTGCCTCTGAGTGCCTCTGAGAGCCTCTGACACGCCTCCGAGACCCTCTGAGAGCCTCTGAGGCGTTTCCGAGAGCCTCTGAGAGCTTCTGGGAGCCTCTGAGAGCCTCCGAACGCCTCCGAGAGCCTCCGAGAGATTCTGAGAGCCTCTGAGAGCCACTGAGAGCCACTACGCAAGAGCTTATGAGAGCCTCCGAGTGCCTCCGAGAGCTTCCTAGAGCCTCTGAGAGCTTCCGAGAGCCTCCGAGAGCTTCTGAGAGTCTCCGAGAGCCTCTGAGAGCCTCTGAGGGCCTCTGAGAGCCTCCGGGAGTTTCTGAGAGCCTCTGAGAGCCTCCGAGAGCCTCCGAAAGCCGCTGCGGGGTACACAGGCGCTGTCGCGCGCGCAGGCATTGAGGTGTACACGGGCACTGTGGTGCATGCGACTGTTGCAGTGTATACGGGCGTTGTGGTGCACGCAAGCGTTGTGGTGCAGCGATGACACTCGAGGAGGAAAACGATGAGGATGGGGGGGAGGAGGAGGAGGAGGAGGAGGAGGAGGAGGAGGAGGAGGAGGAGGAGCAGGATGAGGGATAGGGATGTAGCAATACAGGAGAGCTTCTACAGTTCTATGACTTGTAACCTGGTGGCCCCAGAAGGGGCCTGCGGACTTTCGTGGAGTTGGCAAGCACGCGGTGTCTGTTCTCAAACGTAATCCTCCCCCCGTCGCCTCATCGCGTCACTGCGCGCTTTGTGTTCATGTCCCCCCTCGTCGTCACGAAGAAACCGAGGAGGAAGAGGAGGAGCAGGAGGATGTGCGCGTCGACGCGGCGGCGACCCCAGCGCAGGCGTTCAAGGTTGAACGCGCTTGGGGGGGGCAGTTCAGGCCCCAGGACCCACAGGAACGAACCCACGGCGTGAAACCACTATTCCATATTCGGGCGAGAGCCCCCAGGTACTTCAACGAGCGGACACCGGTCAAAATTGAACGATCCACGCGGTGTCATAAATTAACGTCCAAGCCGCCACCGACAGAGACTGGCTTGACTTCGGGAAGAAGCCTGGGACCCGCTTGGGACGGATTCTCGGTCGGGGGGCGCACGACGACGGCGACGGCGGCTGGGTCACCCGCGAGCGCGTTGGGGAGTCCTGTATTGTTCACAATGGAAAAGCCGACATGTAATCCCACAAACTGAATTCAAAATTTCTGTGGCGCTTTAAGCAGGCCGACGGCGGCCGGGTCACCCGCGAACGCGTTGGGGAGTCCTGTATTGTCCACAGTAGAAAAGCCGACATGTAATCCCAAAAACTGGATTCAAAATTTTTATGGCGCTTTAAGCAGGCCGACGGCGGCCGGGTCACCCGCGAGCGCGTTGGGGAGTCCTGTATTGTCCACAGTAGAAAAGCCGACATGTAATCCCAAAAACTGAATTGAAAATTTCTGTGGCTCTTTAAGGAGGCCGACGGCGGCCGGGTCACCCGCGAGCGCGTTGGGGAGTCCTGTATTGTCCACAACAGAAAAGCCGACATGTAATCCCAAAAAGTGAATTGAAAATTTCTGTGGCTCTTCAAGGAGGCCGACGGCGGCCGGGTCACCCGCGAGCGCGTTGGGGAGTCCTGTATTGTCCAAAGTAGAAAAGCCGACACGTAATCCCAAAAAGTGAATTGAAAATTTCTGTGGCTCTTCAAGGAGGCCGACGGCGGCCGGGTCACCCGCGAGCGCGTTGGGGAGTCTTGTATTGTCCACAGTAGAAAAGCCGACATGTAATCCCACAAACTAAATTCAAAATTCCTGTGGCTCTTTAAGAAGGCCGACGGCGGCCGGGTCACCCGCGAAAGCGTTGGGGAGTCCTGTATTGTCCACAATAGAAAAGTCGACATACAATCCCAAAAACTGAATTCAAAAATTCTGTGGCTCTTTAAGGAGGCCGACGGCGGCCGGGTCACCCGCGAGCGCGTTGGGGAGTCTTGTAATGTCCATATTAGAACAGTCGACATGTAAGTTCAAAAACTGAAATCACAAATTCTGTGTCTCTTTAAGGAGGCCGACGGCGGCCGGGTCACCCGCGAACGCGTTGGGGAGTTTTGTATTGTCCACAGTAGAGAAGTCGACGTGCAATTCCAAAAAACTGAATTCAAACTTCCTGTGCCTCTTTAAGGAGGCCGACGGCGGCCGGGTCACCCGCGAAAGCGTTGGGGAGTCTTGTATTGTCCACAATAGAAAAGTCGGAGCATTTTTCCGACGTGTTCGTAATCATTTTGGCTCAAGCGCGGCGCAATGCCCAAGCGCAAGCGCGCGCCCGATGTGCGCGTGCGCAACCGAGAACGCACGCGTGACCGGGGCTACGGCCGCGGTGGCCGACCCGATGCTGGCGCGCAGGCCGCCATGCTGAGGGCCGCCGTGGCCGTGGCCCCGCGCGCCCGCGCCGCCCGCGCTCAACGCGCACGCCCGCCCGCGCCGCCCGCGCTCGATGGCCGCGCCCGCGAGCGCCAGGCCAGGGCCGAGCGCGTGGCAGAGGCCGCTCGCGCGGCAGAGGCCGAACGCAAGGCCAAAGCCGAGCGCGTGGCGGAGGCCGCGCGCGCGGCAGAGGCCGAGCGCAAGGCCAAAGCCGAGCGCGTGGCGGAGGCCGCGCTCGCGGCAGAGGCGAAGCGCAAGGCGTCGGCCAAGCGCGCGGCGGAGGCCGCGCGCTATGTCCGCGAGACGAGGCCGCGAGGCCTCGGGCCAGGCCAGATCCTATCCAGTGGCGCTGCCGCGCGATTCCGCCACCGCCCTCCACGGAAAGGGGTCCACCCGCAACCTCGTATTTGGGCGCATTTTCTGTTTGGAAGGCCGAAAACGCAGGGACTTGGTCACAGAAGTGAGTGCATCTTGGCCTCGATGCGTCGGGGGGCCTTAACTATTGCTTCCCAAGGAGTGAAAGGGCCCGACACACACCTACCGCTGCAAGCGCGGTGGCGGACAGCTGGGGGCCATGTGTCTCGGCCCCAGCGTGGCCGAGGCCGGCCAGCTGGTCGACCAGCTGGCCGACCAGTGCCCGCGATCTGGTCGGCGATGTTGGCCCCAGACGGCAGTTGGGAAACCAGGATGGTGGACACGATGGGGTATTGGACAAACTACAAAGAGGCTCATA